GAATGAACAGAACATGTGATCCGGGGACAATAACCGTATATTTATACTAATTGCTCATTGACCTAATTCGGCCCATCATGGAATTAGGAACATGTCCGGTCTCTACACATATAAGCTCATACTTTAATTAGATGCTTTAAAGTCCAAAATACCAAAACCTCATTAGATCACTTTAAACGGGTTTAACCGAAATTGATAACTTTTAATTTAATACACGATATTTTACATGTAAGCCCACATATTTGATTAAAATCCTTACAAAATAATCATGGTCCTTGACTTCAACCAATCTAATGGCCTAGATATGCTAAAAAATTTGTTAGTGTTTGTGTGTGTGTTCAAATGTGAATATACGACCTTTAAACGGTATGAATAGATTAGATTGTTAATGTGAATCTTTTAATGGTAAGCAAAGAGGAAAGCAAGATAACAAAAAGGGGCAACGGTTTTGTTCAACCAAAATAAGTTTATTGTGCAAAAGTGATAACACGAGGTTTAAATAGTCTATTTAAGCAAAAGGTATAAACCATCGAGCAATTATATTTGCACCACAATTTTTTTTTTTCGTCACATTGTAATTGCATTTAAAATTCTTAATCTTTGTTCAGCCCCTACTGGATGCATATTTTGGGAGTAAGAATGCATTTTTACTGTTGATATAATGAGGAATATGTGGTTGGAAAAAAAAAGTAAAATGTGTTGATGTGATGTAAAATATTATTTTATTGAAGAATGTGGTTGAAAATGAGTAGAAAAATGAGAATGAGAAAAATAATGTGACTCAAACAGAAGCTCATTATAATATTAATGCCTCTAATGATTTTTCATATAATTCTTTTCTTCAAACTTTTCATTTGTTAACACATTTTGTATTTAATAATAATTTTATGTCCAAAAGTATTTTGAAATGACGTAAAATAACTATTTTTTATCATATTTTTAAAAAATAAGTAAATTAAAATACGAAAAAAAAAATTCCTTATTTTCAAGCATGAAAATATAATATTTTAATATATATTATCATCAAGAATGAAACGTACAAATTAATGGAGAGTTGAAGATAAGAATTCGACGAAGACATAGTTAAAGGAAATAATTTTTACAATGAGCAAAGATTGAGGAATTTAACTACAATTAAAATGAGGTGTATTAATAAAAATTGTGGTGGTAATATAACGACCCTAAACTACCCTAAATAAACAAGTAAAATGACAATTCTACCATTTTGTAATATAAAATAACTTAAGTACAAATGCTATAGCTAATTGTGCTAACATCCCATCAAACTCACTATATGACAACAAAAAGTAACGAGGGTTTGTTCATAAAAAAAGAAAAGAAAATGCCAAACATGGTGCAATTTCGTGAAGAGGCCAACAGGTTGCATCAAAAGTGAAGAAAAGGTACAGTAATAGTTGTTGGATGTGGAAATTTAATCATTACAATATGAAATTAATTTTCCTTTAAAGATTAAACTCAAATGCATGGTGGATCTTAGATCACCTTGAAATCATATGACGTTTTTATTTAAATCTTCCCACATAAAGGTGAGATGATAACCTTGAAAGAGCTTTTAATGGCTTATCCAAATACTTCCCCCCCCTTAGATCTTCTCATTTGCACTCCTTAGATGCCCCTCCTTTTTTTTGGGAAATGGAAAATGGGTAAAACCCTAATCATTGGCAAATGTGCATTTAAAGGCATATTTATAACACACAATTAGAGTTTCATATTTGCACAAATTTCCTTAGACTTTATTGTAGTAGACCAATTAAGTCACACACTTTTATTAGAGCCAAAAGAGAGACCTAAGGACTCACAAGACTCAAGCTCCAAT